CAATCGTTGAGACCAGATGCAGAACCGTCGTCAATGGCCTCCGAGGCGCTCTCTTTTTTGTCTGGGCGCTGTCGGTTGCCGGGGGGGGGGGGTCGGCCACCCCCCCCGCCCGCAACCGACACTGACCATTTCTGACATGCTGAAGAGCAAGCAAGAGAAAAGCGTCATTCGCAGGGGGGGGGGGGACCCTACCCTCCACAGCCGACAGAGTTTTCTGCCACCGCTGTCGGTTGTGGGGGGTCTGCTGTGACCCCCCCCAAAAGACAGTTTCTGTGCCTGGCGGGGTGGCCTGCCCTTTATTGTTGTTACCATGGGTGCGCCCACTGAATGATCCCGCTCGCTCACGCAGGCTCCGTGTTCAGAGTCGGTTTGATATTCAGGAATGGCTCCTACCAGACGGATTTCTTGCCCAAACTTTCAACCCAATGCACAATGCAGGCTGCATTGCCTGCGCACCGTGCGAAAAATGAGTGCATCCGTGATGTCCATTTTGCATTGGGTTGAAAGCTTGGGCAAGAAATCCGTCTGGTAGGAGCCATTCCTGAAAACAAGAAAAAAGAGTGGACCTTTTGTTGGCGGGCCACCCAAGAACCCAGTCAAGTTAGGAGACCTGCAAGACTTTCCGAGTTGGTCGAGACTTGGGACAAGCTGCCGGTTTTGCTGTCGGGGCTTTGGGTTTTCTAGAACCTCAGACACGACCCAAGCGCGAGTTTCATGAACATTCTGACTCAGACTCTTGCAAAAGTTTTTGTCTTTGTCGACAGACCCCCTAAATTCCCATGTCCAACATGTACAGTGGCTGCTGTTTCTCTTTCGTTCGGCAGTTTGGTGCTAGTGCGGCTATATAACTATAGTATACTCTACCGACTATACCCCATCATTATGTCTCTGCACTCTTATGCTTCGAGGACGGTCGGGCCGAAGCCGCTGATGTGGTTTGCGATGCAGTCTTGCTGGGGACGCCTGCGCCTGCCTTTGACGATGCTCCCTGGCAGCCGGCTTGGATGTCGAGCGCATGTCAATACACGGGAGTCGGTCGTTTGGAGTTTAGGTTCAGAGAGTGGGTTCGAGACGTCCCAACTTCCCATCAGCTCGGCTTCGGTTGGCCATGCATAGTTGTACATGATGTGATTCTTACCCGAAGCCTCTAAACTGCCTAAACTGGCTGCTGCTTCGCAAAAGTGTTCCATGAGCTCATGATGCATCAGAGTGGCATTGATTGACGACATGGCACGTAGCAATAGGATCGTCACCATCAGGGCAGCAGCTACAATACTGTAAGAATACCTAGGGAGCTGACATAACATGGTTTTGTGGGTCCCGTTCCAGTGTCGCAGTGGGATTTGAACCCCAACCTCGAACCTTGAACCGAAAACCCTCGTGACCTAAGCCTTACCGTCAGCAAACGAGGAAACCGAAACGACGTGCTACAGAAACCTTGCAGTAGCTGTCAAATTGCTCTTTGTAGCCTACAGCGTAAACCGAACAACCCCAGACTCTGGCGGCAAATGAACAGTTGGCTCCTCGCAAGGGGTGGTCACAGATGCGAGAGCTGGTCACGGGGCGCTTCGTGAACGGTCCCTTGGCAAAGGTGATGATAAGTCGGGGAGGCTTAGGCGGTTGATGGTGTAGGGTTTGCATCCCGCAAGCCCCGAAGTAAACCTCGAAAACATGAATCTTCATCTGAGTTCACTCGGGGATGAATTCCCGGCACTCAGGCATGCGCATAAGAACCTCACATTAGCAAGAAAGCAAAGCCAAGACACGTTGTTTTCGGCAAAAAGTCGGGTAACTTGTTCAGGGCGTCTTTTACGAGGATCCCACTCTTTAGGGGGTTTTATTAATTATCCGGATTGCCGATTTTTTGATACCCCTAGAGGATGAATGCGAGCCGGAAACATCCAGGGGGGCCTTGCAGGACTTGACATCGGCTTCCGTGGGTCTGTGTCTGCACTGACACTGTCTCGCTGTACCTGCAAAAAAAAGGAATGGCCCATGCTTTGCTCCCGTTCACATATCCTGACTCTCAGCCCCACGAAGCGCAACCAAAGCCGGTTTCTCGATCTCCAGGTTTCTTTGCACAAGATGGCTTCCTCCTGTCGCACCAGTTTCGCAGAGGAGGTGGGTTGCGTGTTCTGGCAGAGCTGCTTCAAAGCCAGAAGTCTCAAGTTCAAGCATTCAAGCAATCTGGGCCCTGAAGCCAAAATGCAGCAGCCACGAACGGTCTCAAAGCTGTGGTCTGGGCCCTATGAAGCTGACCAGAGCCAGGTACCAAGCTTGCGGGCTGCAGTCCCTTGCATGCCCCGGATGTGGAGAACATCCCCATGGACCGTGGGGGGGTGTCGGAGTTTGGGTGTAGCAGAATCAGGCTGAACGCGTTTGCGCTGCTCTGGTGATGCTTCTGCCGGGTTTGGAGAGGAGGCTAGGCACTGTCACGGAAAGAGTTTTGATCGAAGTTCCATCCGAGCCATGCAGGCTTAATGCAGGTGTCTTGCCAGAGTCCTGGCTGCCTCACTCTGAAACACAAACGGTTCGAGATGAGCAGGACTCGTACATCACGACCCACAACGAGTATCCGGAACAGATGGCGCTGATCCTTCATCGAATCTTCCACGGTGGGCTCTAGGTGCTCCAATCCTGACTCGGGGAACTTACACCCATCTATACACCCAAAGCCCAAAGCTCCAAGCCCTCTGTGACGACGGACAAACCTAGCAGCAGTGGTTTTGATCTGTTTTGATAATGCTCAGAACGGGCTGCCAAAGTGCTCCCCCGCGTCGGCCGGTGGTGCGATCCTAAACCCCACTACCCCAAAGCCTAGCGCCGGTCTGTGGAGCTCGGGAGTGAAGTCTAGACCTGAAGCCCTAGTTCGTCTATCCATCGGGGGTGTCAAGGATCGCAAGATGCCACTGTCGGCTTGCGCCTGTTAACGAACGACCAATTGCTTTCCACCTCGCCGTGCGGCAGAGAAAATGCGACCATGAGTTCACCATAGGAGTCGTAGTTCTGCTCTACTAGCAGCAACGAAAGAACTGTCTGTAAAGTCGGAGGACATGTGGAAGAATCCGTGTGTCCTGCAGTGGAGCTGGCCGTCGTTGGCGCCGGCATCGTAGTCACTGACCGTCAGCCTAGTTAAATTTACGATCGCTCCTACTTCCACTATTGTTTTAGCAGACTGCCACTCCTCCTCCGCCTCCTCCTCCTACTACTTAACTTCTTCCGCTACTTGTACTACTCCTCCTCCTACTCCAGAACAATAGGATACGCGAAGAACAATTTTCGCAAGTACTGCAGGAACGACTGGAATGTTGCAAACCTTGCCAACTATTTGGACAGCAGAGTAACTTAATACCAGGCCCAAACCCTAATCCCTAAACCCTGGACCCTAAATGTACGCTGTGCGCAAAATAACATCAAGCGTACTCATGCTACACGTGGTAAACTAAGAGGAAAACGCAGCAATACCAGTCATCACCGCCGCAAGGAAAGTCAAAGACACAGATGAGATGTAGACCGGCTGGCACCCAGAAGAGCAGTGATTGATGCATGATTCCGATGCTGCCGATCATGACAGCGATGGTGACGTTGATTGTTGGTGATGTTGTTGATGATCGTGCTGTAAAGTGAATGTCAGTACTGAGAAACATGAATCCGGATTTTAATGCATGACTTGCAGTAGTGTAGCAGTTCTTAGGTGGCTCCAAAATCCAAGCTTTGCATTGAGCCCACTGCCCTGCCAATGTCGGCCAGTACTGTAGTGCACAAGGGCTAAATCCTAAACCCCAAATCCTAACACCCTAAAACCCTAAAGCCCTAAACAAAGCTGGGGCTTGGGGGGTTGTTGCTCTTGTTTTGGAAGTATGAGGAGCCTTGAGAGCTTCAGGTCAAATCGGGCGGCCAAAGTGGCCAGTTCCGTGCCAATAGTGACCAGATCGGCTGGCGGGGTGACTCAGGCGCTCCCCGAGGATCCCAATGTTCGGTGTTTAGGGTTTAGGGTTTAGGGTTTAGGGTTAAAAGTGTGAGGATGTGGTGCTGCCATCTTTTTTGATGACCGTGTAAAGGAATTTTGCAAAACAGGAGCATCTTGGGTCTTGAGTTCTCCTCTGTCCAACGCTATGTGCAGCGACATACATGAGTTCTGCTCGACGGGTCGACCTAATCTTCCTTTCGTCCAAGGGTCCAGCTCAGTTGAAGCCAGATGTTTGGACAGTATACCAAATCAGACCCCGATCCGAGCATCTGCCTTTGTTTCTGTCGCCCTCGAACCCCGGCATCCAGGCGCATCATCGTTATGGGCCCTTGCGAACGCACGCACCAAACCACCCCTCCCCTAGCTAGAATTTAGATGTGTGCCTGTGTGTGAAGCAGCTGATCGGGTTGTGCTCACAGAAGCTGCCTACCGGAGTCATCCCTGCGAGGTGACACGAAGGTGCATGCTGCCACTTCCGTCCGTAGGCTCGGGTGGGGTAGGGTAGCCGGGCTTTTGCAACTTCTTGTGCTGACAAGACCCGGAAGGCAGATCCAGAGAAAACCGTAAAGGGGAGATTTTGCATCTAAGCAGCGTCTTGTTTTAGGTTTGAGTCCATGCAGAAGACCTCACTTCTCAGCCCGTACGGATCAGTGCAGCGCCTATGAATCGGCTGAAGCATAATGCAGAAGCCTGCGGAGTTGGCTGCATTTCTTCCTTGCCGTAGCGCTTTAGGCTTCCTTATCTTGACAATACTATAACAGTACACCCCCAACCCTATTCCCCGCCTGCCGCCCAGGAGTGTTAAACGTTAGCAGCTCAAGCCCGGATGTTGTGGCCCTACTGGCCCTACAGCATAAACCTTAGAACATGGCGCTGTGAATCCTGAAATCACCACAGGTATAACCCCGAAAAAAACCCTCGTAACCTCGTAACCCCCTATATACCCTTATAAACCCCTTATAAACCCCTCATAAACCCCTATATACCCTTATAAACCCCTTTATAAACCCCTTATAAACCCCTATAAACCCTTATAAACCGCTTTTCTATACATATATATATGTATACATACATACATACATACATACATACATACCCTGATAAACCCCTTACAAACCCTGCTAAATCCCAGCCTGAACCTGGGCAGGGCCGAGTGGTTCGAGGGCAGTCTACGCCTCCTCTGCGAAGGGGAGGATGGCTCCACCGAGGTGTGGGTTCCTAAAATCAAGCGGTTTTTGGGTGGTTGTCTAGAGTTTAGAACATAAACGCTTGGATTTTGTTATTGGTTTTTAGGGTGTATAATATAAATGGTTGAAGATTACATTGCTTTAATTATCTTCAGGCTTCAGGCTTATCGGTGTCCAAAATTTCGGCGCCTGTTTTGTGTTTATTGCATTTTGGAGTAATGATTGTAGGGTTTTCAGGTTCCGACATCCCAAACTCGGCGGCTTGAGGCTTGTAGGGTGTATGATGGGTTTTAAGCTTTTGCGTTTAGAGTTTGAGATTTTGGGGTTTGCGATGTAGGGCTCATAATGTGTTAATTCTTTTGGTGCTTGAGAACCTGGCATACTACTAGGTGCCGAGGTTGACAATGGAAAGCTGTTGTTAAGCCTGCGCCGAAAGAAACATTTCCGTTTGTAGTTTGCTTGCAGAATTGTTGATTTTGATCACCCCCGCTTGTACTTGCCTTGGCATGGTATCCATGTCACCATGTGCCATGAATCGTTGTTACATGATCTTTATGAATTCCTCTCCAAGTCGCCATCGCTCCTACTCCTAAACCCACAACCCACAGCCCGAAACCCAGGTGGTGGCCATGGATGGCTTCAGCGACGCTGACTTTGATGCCCTATGGCGGTACTTCGAGCAGACATGCGGTGTGTGCGCTGGGTTTGGGGTTATGTGTTTAGGTCTTAGGGTTCAGGGGTTAGGGTCAAGAAGCCGTAATCATGAGCCATGAACATAAGTGGAGAAAGGAACCAGGGGAATTCGTTTCAGTTTCAAGTCAAGAGTCCTCAACATCCTAAGTCAGCTAAACATCAGTGTCCCCTGTTGCTCTTGGTTCTGCAAGGTGAACCTTTAGGACCTTTGGCATCAAGTATTGTACGGGCTAGCACAGTTAGTAGCACTTTCCATACCCTGCTATAGCCTCTACGTAACTATACCAGAATATCCCCCAAAACACCGTTCTCGTTGTGCGGGCCCGAACATTCTGGTCATAACTGCAGCCATGCTTGTGAAGAAAATCGCACATCACAACCCAGCGCAAGTGCTGCCTGCCACCAGAACGGTGCCGATCCTGTGTGGCATTTTTCGGTGATTTTTTGGATGCTGCCTGGATGCTTCTAACCAGTTCGTTGCTGAATGAACGCAAACATGTTCAATGTAGCAGCACTGCACGCTGCCAGGGAGATTAAGCACCGCCCTGCAGGTACTTAAAGAAGCACCGCCCGGTTGCAGCACTCTCCGAGGCCTTTGCTGGAGTGGAGGATGTCGTGTCGTCGGGCTAGCGGATTACATGGCTTTTATTCGATTTCGGCATTCGGCTGCCATCACATGTAGGGGTGGGCTTGGGTTTGGGGGCGCAGGACATCGGGCTTCGGTATGTGAATGTCAGCACAAGCTGAATGTGTGGCTATACTGTTCATGTCAGCTTGGGCTTTGAGTACAAACTCTCAAGCAACTTCACATTGGCACACATCTATCTACCTATCTATCATCTGTCTATCTGTCCATCTGTTTGTCTATCTACCGACCGATCTCTCTACTTGAATTTGTTGACGCATCTGGCTATCTATGCGCCGATCTATCTACCTCTCCATCCATCTCTCCATCTGTTTGTGCGTGCACTACTTATTTTGCCAATCTGGCTTTAGGTTCTCGACAAATCCGTTGGACTTTCTGCATCCCCACTGCTGCACTGAACTTCATGTTCGTAGACGAGTCCATAGCCGTGAGTATGACTGCCTTGAAGAAGAAGAGTTCAAGAGGAGGCTTTTGAGCGGAAAGGATTCAATCAAACCCCCCGAACCTAAAGCCTCAACCCGAAGAGATCCCCAATCGCCCAAACCCCAAAAGCCAAAACCCAAAACGGCCCTCAAAAAAAAAACCTAAGTAGCCCCAAAGCCTAGAAACCCTAAAGCCTCAAATGCGCCCGGAAAGCTTGCAGGCCGACTTTGACCTTGCCATGCGAAGCATCGAGGATGCGGCAGACAGGGCATCCAGCTCAGAGAGGGACGCCCCGAATGACAAGAACAGGGTTTAGGGTTTAGGGTTGTACATATTTGCATGAGGACATGTCCCAAAGGATTATTCCGAACAACTACACCCTAAAGTCTTGAAGTGCCACGAAGTGGCCCCTGTTGCGGTCTACCCAGGTGGACGAGGCCTCAGCGGGCTCGGTGCAGAAGAAGGCCAAGGAGGCCGACCTGATGAAAAAGGCAGGGGTTTTGCTTTTTGCACTGTTGGGGGCTTAGGGTTTAGGGTTTAGTGGGGCCGGGGGCGGGTGTGGTAGGGCATCTGAGGGTGGGGAGGATTGTAGGGGATTTCAAGGGGTTGGAGTTTCAGAATACTTATGCCCTGGCGGTGTGCGTTTTGCGAGAGTCGTACCAGACTGTTAGAGTTTAGAATTCTGGACTCTTCGTGGGTTTAGATTGCCGGCGAGTTGGAATGGTTTGGACGACAAAGGTGAAAACGACGGCTTGCAGCAACAACTAGATCAGACTTCGTGCTGTTCTTGTTGTTGTTCTCAGCACATTGCTTAGCAGGAGCCTGTCTTCTGGTTGTTGTGTTGTACCGGCATTACTACTTCTGCTTCTTGCTGGTTGCCGAGGCGCTTATGTTTTGCTACATGCTATTCAATCTGCTATTGGTCGTCTTCTGCGGTTGTTCGTTGCTTTGTGCCGTCCTCTATGTTATGAATCAATGTTATGAATGCATCATTGATTCGGGGTGCACAGAAGGCAGCCTTTCGGGTTGGAGGTGTCTCGGCTGTGTTCACAGGTCCCCAGACCAAGGGGCCGTTGCACAGTTTGGGCTTGCACTCTCAGCTTGAGGGGACTGTCGGCCACATTCCAACGGTTCGGGTTATTTGTGAGGGTTTAAGGTTGAATAAGTTTGCTATTTGAGGTAAAAGGCCGATGCTCGGGCTTGTTTCTTGGAAGGTATCAGCTGCTTCCTTCGTTTGTAACCCGAAACACACATCAAACGCTGTAGGCCCCAAAGCCGACAACTACAAACCCCAAAGGCTTGATTGAGCAAACATCCTTGCCCTGCAGGGATTGAAACCTCGACCCCTTATAGCTCCAAGACCTAAACCCTCTAGACGGAAGGTTGAGAGCGTCCGCGATGGACTCGATCAAGCCGTCAGCGGGGACAAGCAGGCCACCAGTCGTAAGGACTTTAGGATGCTTAGGGTTTATGGTTTAGGCACCCTAAACCCTAAACCCTAGGGAGCCTTGTTACCTTTCAGAGTTCCAGGAGAAGGCTTTCAGGATTGTGTTCTGGAGCTCTGGTGCCAGTTTGGAACAAGGACTCTGTAGCTAGCAGCTAGCCGCACTCTTTGACTACAATCAATCTATGTATAAATATCATATGTATTTAAGTATTGTTTAATTATATATATATACTATTTAATTATTTGTTTATATAATTCTCGCTCTCTCTCTCTCTCTCTCTCTCTCTCTCTCTCTCTGACGGCATATGGACTTGCACACAAACATCCACAGTTCTACACGACTGTGTATTTATGTATACCTCCCTTCCTTGCTTCCCTTCTTGGCTCCTTCCTTCTCTGCAAATGCAGATTATGCTCTACCCTAATCCCTAAACCCTAAACCCTTATGCTCTACGATAGTTCTTCGGCGCAGCCTGTTCTTAGGCCCTGAGCCGCGTCTTCGCCGATCGCGGCTGCGAGCGGATCGGCCGACTGCGGCTAGTCGTGGACACGGTGCAGCTAGAGGCCATATACAATCCATAGTAGATATATAGCATAATGCTGGGTAAGGGATTGAGGGAATGAGGGGCTTACGGTCTAAGAGTTTAACAAGCTCCACCAGCACGATTACTGGCGAGATGCCTTGAGCATCCAACTTCAGGAAGTTGGATAGCCTAGCCGTCTGCTCACGGATCTGCATGTGCAGGGTGTAGGGTTGAGGGCGTTCGGGACTTGGTCTTGGGACTCGGGAGTTCAAAGGGCTGTTTTAGGGTTTAGGGCTTACGGGGATTTGGGATTTGGGGCGTTCAGGGATTTTTGCATAGTCTCAGAACCTCGTTTGCGGGCGGATATGTTTGGAGTGTTCTTGTATGTTCTTGTTCTAGATTTTGAATTGTTCTTCGCAGCTGGGGAGGTGCGAGGCACAGGTGTTTACATGGTTTCGCACACAAGAAACTTCCCGGTCTTCCAGCTCGAGTACCACGCCGCCGCATTTCATTGATGGTAAAGTAATAATTTGGCGATCAAGAGGACTTGGAGACAAATGAGGTCTGGGTGTGCAGATGAAAGTTTATGGAGTTGATCTTGCTGGCAATGTTGCGATTGCAAAAGTGCTGCCGTCATGATTGTGAATGGGCCAAATATCTTTTTACTGCTGCTTTTCTGCTCTTCTCTACCATGAGCATCAGCATGTTCACCATCATTGCCATCGTCATCACCATCATCCGCACTATGGTTGCATATGATGTTACCAGGTGCTGCCTCCGCTACGCTTACACTGAATCAAGAAGTGTAACCATGCTCCATCGAGCGCACGCTCGCGACGCTGTGAAAGGTCTATCACACCGATCCGCGATGGAAGCACTTGCTGAGCAAATGCTCCACAATCGAGGCCATGCAGGGTATCTATATTTATATGTAAGTATATATAAGCATGTATAAGTATACATAGGTATATAAATAAATCAATACATATATATATATATTTATTTATATACATATATATATATAAACATATAAATACCTACAAATATGAATATATATATATATACACAAATACATATAAGCATTTATAAACAAATATATAAACATGTACAAACATATACAAAAACATATATAAACATGTGTACACATGTATAATTATATAAATATGTAAGTGTGTAAATATATAAATACATACATATATATATATATTTATAGAGACTTTAATATATGAATATATGAATATATGAAAATTTAAATATAAGCATATACATATATATGTGCATATATAAATAAGTAATTGAATAAATAAAAAATTGATTAAATAACTCTATATATATATGTATATTTATATTTATGTTTGAATTTACATGTATATTTATTTTTATTTCTTTATTTTTATGTATGTACATATATATATGAATGTATGTGTGCATTTTACAGGTTACGTGGTTCATTGTTCAGACCTCCCCGTTTGGCATGGGAAGCATCGAGAGTCACTTCCGGATTCGTCAGGGGTCTTTGCGGCCGCACAGGCGTTTGCCCCAGAAGAGATACATATAGAGGACCGACCACGAGAATATTCCATATTATATATACACACACTTTTGTATATAGATAGACGAAGATTATGATATATATGGTAGCACCCGAAAAAATCGTCAGCGACTTCCTAGCTGTGCAGGCGGTGCTGAAGGAGCTTGGGGCTTTTCGCCGGGGGCCTAAAGGTACGTTCAACGTGCCCGTTGTGCCTTAGTCCTGCATGTCCATTGACATTGAATGGCTTTCACATCAGTGTAAACTGTATTACTCGGTACTGCGAGCTGTTGCAAGTCTACTAGGAACCGAACTTGGCACGATATTTTTTTACCGTTCAGTTATGTGCTCAATTGATGTTCAAATTTCGAGCACGTCGCTGCTGCCTACTACTGGTTTTGTTTTGTCTCACACTTGAACGCTGCTCCACAGCGGCACTGCCGCCGCGTTTAATATTGCTGCTCCTAGACTGCTGGGAACTAGGGTGAAAAGAACACTACACTCAGTTCTAGTACGAGTACGGGAAATCAAAAGGAGCCAGAAATACAAGAGACAAAGTTGGAATGGTCCATGTCGGCAGTTTCTACCAAGCTCGATGATGAAAGCCCCAATCGCAATCACAATCTGTCGACTTTCTGTACAGATCATCCAAGCCACATCCCATACTAGCTACCCTGAATCCCAAACACCAAGCAGAATCCCGGCTGTTCCGAGCCCAGGCCCCTGGAAGCCCTCGCAAGGCAGCGGCCACTCAGAGAGCTTGCTGAGGCTCCGGACTGTCAGGGCCAGGCTTTAGGACTTCATCATTGCATGACTACCTGCCTGCCTGCCTACCTCCTTCATCCTCCTTGCTGCCTCCCTGCCTACCTACCAAAACCTTAAACCCTAAACCCCTAAACCCTAAACCCCTGAAGCCCTAAACCCTAAACCCTAAAGCCCTAAACCCTAAACCCAAAGCCCTCCCATCGCCAGGCGGGCCATGGTCAAGGAATTGCGCCACCGGCACGGCGAGGCCGACGATCTTCCCGAGGAGCTTCGGGACTTTGCCGCGGCGCCCGTGGCGTCTCTGTAGGCCTTTTTTGGGTAGTCGTAGGGTGGCTCAAGGGCCGTACAGGTAGTTGTTGTATAGTGCTGTGACATAGCTTCACAGAAGGTGCTACAGGGTTTGATCTGTTTTTAATTGCTTTTTGTGGTTATCGTTTATTGGGGCCGGGAGCACTGTAACCCTAAACCCAAATCCCATGCCTTAAACTTTCCTAAACCCTACAGCCTGCACGAGGAGGAGCCCCCGGCAACCGGAGGTTATGCCGCAGCGAAGCAGGTGGAGGCAGGTTGCACCTTAAGTCCATGGCATGTTGCGTGTGAGTTTATGGGGTTCAGGAGGCTCTAGGGCCCGGGCCCAGGGTCTTGAGCTTGGGGTTTTGAGTTCTGCATTTTCGTTTCGGCTTCCCCTGTGTTTCACATTTCACTCGGTTCTGGGTTTAGGGGCCCCTAACACCAATAGAGGACCGCTACAAGAGAATCTGACCTTTGCAGGTGTAGCCGCTGTGGCATCAAAGTCCTGCTGCATTTTTCATGTCAGGAGCCCGGGGCACCCTATGTCACCCAGCCGCTGCCGGAACCGGAGCCTGCCAGCACAGGCGGGTGGGGAGGGTAGCAGGAGGCAGAGGGGTTGCGAGAACGAGACTTGGGTACCGAGAGCAATCGCTCAGGAGGCTTCGGGCTTCGTCATGATCAGAATCGGTCCCTTCTGACGTGCTGCTCGCTTGTTACTTCATATCGCAGCAACACCGCTCATGACCATTGAGCAACATGATTGTCAATCTTGATGGCAGTGGTGGTGGTGGTGGTGGTGGTGGTGGTGGGGTGGTGGTGGCGGTGGCGGTGGCGGTGGCGGTGGCGGTGGCGTTGGCGGCGGTGGGCGGCGGCAGTGGGGATTGTTTCTACCTCGCTTAGCTGGCGATACTCGCTTCGATTTGCCGAGAGCTGTTTGTGGCTGTGGGCGTGGTTGTTAGGGTGTTCACTGTCACCGGTTATAACATGATTCTGTTGCTTCTGTGGATTGCTCGCATGGGTCTTTTGTGATTTTGCATTTTGTGGTTGTGCTCGCGCGCATGCGCGCGCGGGGGTGTGGGTGGGTGAGTGGGCGGGTACGTGGGTGGGTGGGTGGGTGGGTGGGTGGGTGGGTGGGTGGGTGGGTGGATGGATGGGTG